TGGACAGTGGGGATTACTTGAGGGTTCCGAAGGAAAGACACTCTAGCGAAACGCAGTATTTCGTGGAGGAATCAGTCGCCTGCAGAAGATTGTACCCAGCCCCGGAAACACATTCGCTCTCAGCAGAAGCAGAGTGAAGAGAAAGCCAGCCCGAGTTTACAGTCCCAGAGGGGATTTTAAAAGCTCAGTAAAAAACGCGTGGAGGTCAAATTAAGATACACCTTCACAGACAGAGTGATCAGATTCTGGCATTTTCTTACCTTTCTTCCCCCTTGTGCTTTTTACAAGAGTATTTTCCAGATTTGCACATTGAATGGGAACCTCTACCCTTAATCGGCACAAAACCTCCATAAGTAACCCTTTCTGTAAACACAGTTTTAAAGTTTGAACAGTAGTGATAGCAACAAAGTTCGTAGAGGGCTTCGGTTTTAAAAGCTTTGACACGAAAACCTTGTGGAGATCGTTCGGAGGGAGCTGCATATGTACGTGAACTTTTGCCATGGGTCTGTGGGCAAAGATTCCTCACGGGTCATAGGTTAGCCGCAGAGCAGTTAACTTCTGACTGGTAAGTTTTTCTTTTCTTCAGCAGCCCCTAAGCCATATTTGTCATTAGGATGTTCTTACGCTTTCCCCCTGCCCCGGGACCGACCCCTGACTCCTGGATCCTTTATTTCTTGGGTTTGCTCTTTGACTTGCTGGAGCCCCGGCCCATCCCGGCTGTGAGCAGAGGGTCTCATCTTCCAAACTAGGAAGGCACGTCCTGTCCTGCAGTCAGCCTTCCCTGCCGGTGGGGTTCCCGTCTTCCCAGAGCACACAGTGTGACAGCATCTCCCACACAAAACGCCCGCAAGCTGCAGGTCTTCCGGGTTCCCTGGAGGGGCTGCCGGTCCTGAGCTCCCTTGGGTCTGGGCAGCCAAGGATTCTGAAAAGGCTCTAGGAGAAACAGTCGCGACGTTGGTAGCAAATATCAACCGAACTCTTTGCCAGTGCCAGGCTCAGCACTAAATGCTTTATGGGTGTGACCTCATTTTCCCCTCATGGTAAGTCTGTGGGGTGGGAACTTTCCTGGTTTCCTTTCAACGGGTAGGAAACTCTAGTCTAGGAAGGTTACACGACTTCCAAGGCGCTCACAGTTGGCCAACGTTGGAACCGGCACGTAGTCCCCCGGGTGCCGTTGGTCAGAAAGCCACCACCTGAGTGGAGCCCCGTGTCGTAAGCAGTTAGCAGAGGAAGGGTACCAACCAGGGCTGGCTGCTAGGCCAAGCCCGGTCACTGGGGTGCCCACATGGGAGGATGCAAAGATGCCACAAAACCCAGCCCGGTAGTGCTGGGAAAGGTTGCAAAAGCAATGCTCTCGTTGTTTTGGTTTTTGTTTTGTTTTGTTTTTTAAGTGTATTTATTTTGAGAGAAGGAAAAACAGAGAGAGAACACGAGCAGGGGAGGGGCGGAGAGAATCTCAGCACAGAGCCTGACACGGACTCGATCCTATGACCATGAGATCATGACCTGAGCCGAGATCAGGAGTCAGTTGCTCAACTGACCGAGCCACCCAGGCGGCCCATGTGATCTGGTCATTTCTAACTCCTTTAGAAGTCACTGTGTGTCAAGCACGTGTGCTCTGCTGTTTTCCCCCCTCCTGGGACAGTTCTACCTTCCTCAATTCAGATCCCTACCATTCTAAAAAATAGTTTTATTGTTAAAGAAAGTGCTTCTTCTGGGGGCGCCTGGGTGGCTCAGTCGGTTGAGCGTCCCGACTTCGGCTCAGGTCACGATCTCACCGTTCGTGGGTCCGAGCCCCGCATCGGGCTCTGTGCTCTGACAGCTCAGAGCCTGGAACCTGCTTCAGATCCTGTGTCTCCCTCTCTCTCTGCCCCTTCCCCGCTCATGCTCTGTCTCTCTCTGTCTCTCAAAAATGAATAAACGTTAAAAAAAAAAAAAAGTGCTTTTTCTAAAACATAAAAAGAAATACATATGCCTGGTGATAAAACTCAAACGACTTGGAAAGTTCTGAGGTAAGATGAGTTCTGCCCCTTCCCTCAACTGTGAGTCCTCTCTCTCTCTCTCTCTCTCTCCCCCCGAAGGTTAGCCACTATTCAATCTCTTCTATAGCATTCCTGAAAGTTAAAAAAAAAAAAAAGGTTGTGTTCTCAGGCCCCACATGGGGAGGCCGCTCTCCTATGCCATACCCTATATTCCTTGCTGCTGCTAAGAGCAGAGTTTTGAGGACATGCCTCTTTACCCAGAACTGTGCCCCCTCTTACTTCTCCGTGGGGTTTCCCCTCCTCAGCGTCATCGATGGCAGCACACCAGATACAGCGATAGTGGAATTGTGGAATTCCTGCGGGTCTGATGATGACAGACTACACGGCTGGCCTCGCAGAGAGAGTCCTGGCTGCAGGATTTGCCAGACCGCGGCCGCTGGGGGCCTGTACCGTCTCGTCCCGAGACTGACTTTTCCAAGTCTGGTTGGTTCTTGTTGCCTGTGACCCTCAGGGGCAAGTTCCCATTGCCGTGAATGGTGACCTTTGCCTCTTTGTGTGGGAGAACTTTCCGGCAGACCATTTTGTCTTTGACAACCCCAGCCTCCTTCTGTATCCATAGCACATGGCCTTGGTGCAGGGTGCTAGGGTTTGGGGAAGCATCTTTGGCCAAAGCCAGTCCTGAATCTTTCTGATTCCTTCTCCGCGGATGGAGCTCAGGATGTTTGTGTGGTCGCTGAAAACTGTGTACATCTTGATGTTTTTTGAGAGACCCTGGTTTCTGAGAGCGCTGTACTGAGGCCGTGTAGCGCAGTGAGTTGGGGCCCATGTGGAGTCTGGAGGGGGTGTTCCCGGTTGTCTGGCCAGGGTGCCGTCCCTGCCTAGTCCCTGGCATTAGTGGGGAGCAGGACTGGATTCCACGGGAGTTCACACAGTTACCTTTTGTCCTTTCCTCCTCCTGCCATTTGAGTGCTTAGACACTTGGGTGTGAGGCCTCAGCCTCTTGGAGCCGAGTCTGTCCGTGAGGTCTTTCTCAGCTCCAAAAGTTACGATTCTTCAGCTCCTTTTTAAAAAGTTATTTTTAAATTGCTTCCAGCGAATGACTTTGCTCATACTCTGCATGTAAAGCTTAAGAGTAAATGCCCCTGTCAAAAGACCGCTCAGAAGGGCTCAGAAGTGTTCTCTTGTACGTTTTAAAAGATGATAGAAATTCTGGGTTAAAAATCCCATACGTCTTGATTTTATTTTTTATTTATTTTATTTATTTTTGAGAGAGAGAGAGGGTGAGCATGAGCAGGGGAGGGGCAGAGAGAGAGGGTGAAAGAATCCCAAGGAAGCTCTGAGCTGTTAGCACAAAGCCCGATGTGGGGATCGATCCCCGGAACCGTGAGATCATGACCTGAAATCTAGAGTCGGATGCTTAACTGACTGAGCCAAACAGGCACTCCATACGTCTTTATTTTAATACCGAAACCAACTTCCTATTCCTAAAATGACTCCACCTCAAACCCCCACCCCAGTCCATTCTTGGGCTCTTCTTGGATTTCTCAGGGCACTTTGGGCTTACAAAGGAGAGAATGAAGATTTTTGTCTCAGGAAAGTATGGGTCTTCCTGTTCCCGGCGGGAATGGTTCAAACTCTACCTTGCGAAAGGTCATCGCAACTAAGTATGTTTATCTGCCCTCGGTCTTTGCCACCTTAACTTCAAAGGTATGTTTGGGGGCGCCGGGGTGGTTCAGTTGGTTATGTGTCTGGCCTCAGCTCTGGTCATGGTCTCGTAGTTTGTGAGTTTGAGCCCCATATCAGGCTCTCTGCTGTCAGCACAAAGCCTGCTTCGGATCTTCTGTCCCCCTCTCTCTGCCCCTCCCCTGCTCATTCTCTCTCTCAAAAAATAAATAAATACAACTTAAAAAAAAAAAAAAGAAAAGGTGTGTTTGTAAGCGTAGCTGGAGAGTCCTGTTGACCTGGGCAGTCTTGCAGGGGACCGAACCAGAGAGGAACTGCGGGCTGCTTTGATGGACCACGTTAAGCCTCATGTTCCAACTTTCTTGAGCCAAAGTCGTGTTCATGGTTTAGAGTGAGGTGGTGGTCAAGCAGCCCACAGTTGTACCAGGATGGTGTAGTCATCCTCGGGATTGGCCTTCAAGTGGGCTCCACATGTGTTTTCCTTATAGAAACTAGCCCAGGAAAGACACCGTATTTAAGAAGTAACCGTTTTGTCAGACGCAGACTGAAATGGGGGGTGAATGAGAAAACTTGGTGTAGCCCTTGCAGTCTTCAGATGGAAGAGGAGATTTCCCACATGATTATGAATACAAGGATGCATTTTTTTTTTTCTCCTTGACTCTTCGCCCCATGCTTTCAATCCATCAGTCTCTACAAAGAGGCAGTTGATTTCTGTCGAATGGCCTGGGCGTCACCGGTTCCCAGAAGGACTAGGGGGGAAGCAGAGAATGGCCCTCAGTGCCTGGGTCTCCGGTTACCTTGAATTAAGACCCTTGGAGCTATGGGATGCCCTTCACATTCAAATCCTAGAGCTAGTTCCTTGAGACGCTTGGCTTTTCGTTCCAAAAGACAGACGCCATATCGGAGAGCTGATCGTCTAACAAAAAGTTTTTACGGAATTTCACAGGCACAGAATTGATTCATGATATGAGCTGGTGTATGGGGAGATTGGTCACGTGGGGCTCCAGGACAGGTAACAAGGCAGTAATGAAGCTCATGGGGTTGTTGTTGTGTCCTCAGGTGGCTGTTGTGAGGAATTCGGACAGAAAGATGACTTCTATTTTGACCGGGTGCTGTCTAAAGATGTTTGCAAACCCGGTCTTGGGAGCATGGGAGGTGGGTGAGATGTGGTGCTGCCGAGATAGGAAGACAGAGGAGCTGGAATCCGATTCTTGACTTTGGCCGGCCCTCCCACCTTTCTTCCTAAGAATCGACCATCTGGCTGGGCCCTGGCCGGCTGCCAGCCTTCTCAGGTGGAGCCAGGATTACATCTGTGTCTTTGCATTTTGTATCCAGGTTTCTGCCGAGTCCAGCTCCTCCATGAACTCCAACACCCCGCTGGTGAGGATAACCACACGCCTCTCCTCAACGGCAGACACCCCCATGCTGGCAGGGGTCTCCGAGTATGAACTTCCAGAAGACCCAAAGTGGGAGTTTCCAAGAGATAAGTGAGTATTTCCATTGGACACATCCCCAGATGGAGACTTAGGTCTAAATGGGGATGTTGGATTGACATTTTCTTTTTATGGTCCTTAACTGCAAAGGTCATGTCTGACGATGTCAACAGGAGTGAGTGAGGTTGTATTTCTAACCACCTCCTGAAAAAGAAAAGAATTGATTCTCTCACTTTTAATCGTTCTTTAAAAACAGCTACTAGGCATGGCTGGTCTCCAAACAAGATGGTACCTTGTTAGCATTTTTTTTTTTTTTTTTTTTTACTGTTTAGATCATTCATACCCAGTCACATGGACTAAATATCCCACTTATAAAAACACATGTGACCTTCCAGCCGCTGGTGATTAGAACATGACTGTTCTGTAGTCCATTTCTTCGGAGCAATTAGATGTAAAATGCAAATTGCCCTAGGAGTCTTCACTCAGTGTTGGCTGTTTTTAATGGTTATTCATGTAATATGGGGCTGAAATGGTTCAAATATGGTATCTGACATCAAATTTCCCGTGGTCCATAGTATTTTCCTTAGTGGATGGTGTGGAGGTGTTCTGATCAGATGTTTGTTCTAATCAGCATGCCCGGGCTCTGTGGAAGGCATTACCGGGAGCTGTTTATCTCTTGATCTGGCTTGATGTCCATGTATTTGGGCTCTCTTGGACCGGATCTGAATCCTGGTTCAGCTAGCCAGTGGCTAGGCAACCTTGATTTTCTGAACTTCCATTTTTATAAACTAAAGATCATAGTATTGACCTCCCAGGACTGAGCACAATTCTTGGCTTCTGAGTTTCCCTGCCTTGTGTTTCCCTTCCTGTACGGGTAGGCTGAGAGCTCTGAACCACAAACATCAAGAAGATGGTGGGGCCTGGCAGAGAGTCTGTGAGGCAGATCTTGTGCTCCCAGCCCTCTATTTCTGGTCCTGCCCAGAAGACGAAGTATGACAGTCCTTGAAGACCGTCAGCTCACTTGTTGTAGTCGTTCGAATCTGAACATTGGGAATAGTAGAAGGTGGACATCCCAGACTATATGTCTACATTCCCTCACCTGCCGTAACCTCTTGCCTGGCTTGGATACAGCTTTCACTCCCTGTCTGTCTTGGCATTTGCAGTTATCTCCCTAAAGTTAAGTCAGAGAAGCGTTTAATTACAATCAAAGAAACTCCTACACAAACTTGGAGGTACCAAGATAAGCTTTTCTAGAGACTGGGTATGACGAGCTCTCTTTGGGAAGAGAGGTAGCTTACGTGGCACCCATGATTTCGATTCACCCAACTCCACACCAGTTTTGTTTCCCAGCAGCCAATTTCGAGATACTAATGTGTGCCATAAGCTAGGACCAAAAATAATTATACAGGTGTCACTCTGTCAAGAGAGCTAATGGAGGTAATTTCCAGTGTGTTTGTGTCCTGTAGCGAAAAGACCATTCTTCATTCGGGACTTGTTTCTTGAACAATAACCGGGGAGGCATCAGAGAAAACACAAGGTGTGGTTCCCTTCCCCGGAGAAGGTGGAATGAGAACGGGGTTGTTTCTCACCAAGCCACTTCGCTCCCTCGTTTGAGTGTACCAGTCGGAGGGCGTGCACATTCCTGCACGAATGGGACTGAACTAGGGGGCTGCGATCGTATCGTAAGAAATCCCAGCTCTCAGGTTCAGTGCACGGTTTTTGTCGCCTGTGACGCTGCAGCCAACAGTGGAAGTCTGTGTGTGCCTGACCGTTAGCTCCCACCTTGGGGGAGGACCCTCGGTGCGGAAAATCTGAGCGCTAGGCATTTCAAAACGGAGTTTAGCACAAACGTAGGTGGAGCAGACTTCCAGTGAATGAAGGCTATTTAGAAGCAGTTTATTAGATTGGAGGCAGAAGTTATACAAAGAAAGGATTGTTACGCTTGTCGTAGCGGGGCAATAGGACATAAATTAGCCATTTTTCCAATGCAAATGTTTATTTTCTGCCAAGATATTAAATTTAATTTTAGTTCAGGATAGAAACAGAATGACCTCAGCATAGCATACGCCTCCCTCAGTCTTTGCTTAGCTTTTGCAAACCATTGTGTGCTTATCATAAACAGTGTTTATTTACTAAAGGCAGCTTAATACTTCACTGTGTTGTGCTTAAGTGAAAAAACCACATTCATAAGTATCCGAAAGATTTCTCTGTTCTCTTGGCTTCGAGAATGCCCAGAGACAAATCTATGGCTATTAGTATGGTGTGCACCGAGCTTCTGAGCTTAGAAATCCAGTTCCTTGTGTTCACTCTGGATTTTCTTCATTATTAATTTTGGGTAGTTAAGGATTTTCTAAACTGTGAGGTCAAAAGAGAGTCCCCTCAATTTCTAGAATTTTCTTTTTCCTTTAGGGAAAAATTAGAGATTCCTTGAAATGCGTTTAAGATTCATATCATGTAACTTGGCCAGGAATGTGACCGTAAAATCCATTGGTATTTGAATAATAGTGATTTTAAAGACCTCACTTCACAGAGACAAAAAAAAAAAAATAAGAACAGCTTTAACATTTTTTCTTTGAGACATTCTAAATTACAAATATTCAATTGGCTCAAGATCAAAAGCTCCGCATTGTTAGCACTTAGGAAAGCTGACCACCTCACTAGCGAGGATACCTTCCACAAAGAAAATAAATCGTGAACACAAATGTGAAATTTAATAGCTGTTCCACCCGTAATTGACATTCTCTAAAACGTCACTAAGAAAATACTCAAGCGCGTGTGTACCCCAGGTCTCATTAGTTCCATATGATAAATGCTCCATGCTTTTGCAAGCCGCTGAAAGATTTTTATATTTAGTTCTGGAATTTCCCTCGCTACACCCCTTCACCAGATGCCGTGTGCTAATCCCCTATTTACACATTTAGGCTGACGCTGGGCAAACCTCTGGGGGAAGGTTGCTTTGGGCAAGTGGTCATGGCTGAAGCAGTGGGGATTGACAAAGAGAAGCCCAAGGAAGCAGTCACCGTGGCAGTGAAGATGTTGAAAGGTGAGTGGGGTGAGGGGGATGGGTGGGGGTGGGAAAGGGGTGGGAAGTCTTATCAAGAATGTTCCTTTTGTGGCATGTGAACTCTATCATGGCAGGGGTCAGAGAGCACATAGTTGACCTAGGGGTTGAGAAGTTTTCCATATAAATCAGCATCCCGGACAGACGATTTATCTTGAGCTGTGTGCACTTACAAGAAAGAAAAGCCAGTTTTGTTAGAAAGTGGTAGCCTCCCAGATTGTTCTTCATCAGCTCCTAGGTGATGACCGTGATTTCCTATTCCCTCTATTTTTGTAGATGCTTAGAAAGTAGCAACTCACGTATGATTGATTAATTTAGAGGAGCATCGGCCTCTTGGATTTGGGTCCCAAACCTTCCCTTACAAATAAAGGAAGGTTGACCCTTTTGGAGGGAGTGAGGGGGTGCAGGGAGAGGAGGTCACACCTTCTGTTTTGTAAGACAAACAAAACAGAATTGACACCGGTCTGGGAGAATCCCTTAGAAAGCTAAACGACACCAGCAGGATCGGTGGCTGGGCAGAACCTTCTGGGCCATGTGAGCAGTTACCCCGGGACGTGAACGTCACATGTCGTTGTGCACTGACCTTCTAGCCCTGCTTCGTGCCTATGTCCAAGGAGCTTACGGCGTTTCAAACATTAACTTCTTCCTCCACAGTATTCTTTTATGAGACGAGTTATAGGGAACGGTTACATTATAAATCCTGTCGTAGGGATCTTAGAAAGGATGGTTTTTCCCACGTGTCTGGGCAGAGACACCTGTTCTTGAATATGGGTGCCTGACCCATTTGTGGATGCTTCCTGAATTAGGCTCTTTCTTTCTTTCATGGGCTGTCGTGGGATGATCCTGTCCCTCCCTGTGTGGGGAGGTAGCAGGTGGAAGGAGTAAGAAAGATGATTTTTTTTTTTTTAAGTTGTTGATCTGCATGGCTCCCAAGAAAACTGGGGCGTTTTGAGGTCCTCACGTTGGAGTTTGATGCCCGGGAGGACTGTGCTCCCCCACCCCACGTGTCTCAGCTCCACCAAGAGAGGTGGCCCTCTGGCTTTCGTCTTGTGTGGCCGGGGCCTGCCTCGTGGGCCCTGGCCCTCTTGCGTGGCAGGTGTGGTGGGCCGCATGCCCCACAACAGCCAACCTTGGCACCCCCTGGCCACGTGCCAGGGCACGTGTGGGGAGCGCCCATGCTTCCCGCCTCCTTTGGCAGAACTTCTGTTTGGCGTCTGGAGTTCAGAAGTGGAGGTCTGGGGGGATTATTTCTTTGGATGTACCCAGGTTGGTCCTCCCTTTCAGGATGGAGGAAGACGTTAGCCCCAGAGCCCTGTCAGGCGTCCTTTTTTTACAGCCAGTGGGTGGCTCACAGCAACATCCCGGCCCTGTCTGTGCTCTGTGTGTCTGTCTTACCCTCCAGTCAGTTAATTGCATTGCTCCTCCTTTTGTGAAGCTGAAAAGCTTTTTGCAGTGAGGCTGCTACGTATTTCCTTATCTCATTGTTTTAGTAAATGCAGATTGTTCCATATTGAATTAGCTCAGAGAGGTTCACGTGGAAGAGGCTTGCCACTTTCTAGAAGCTGTGAGCCTGTGACTGTAGGACCTAAGACGCTTTTCTTGAAATTATAGAGCAGAAGTTTAGAAAACTTTAATTCTTTTATGTTGAGAATCACAGCCCCCTTTGAGAAACCCATTATAGAAGGCATGGGCCTTTGCCCACTCAGAATGCGCACACATACACACACACACACACACACACACACACACACACACACACACAGTTATGAGGTGCCCCCTGAACCTGTCTGTGAATTTTCTAAGGGCTACAAGGGCTTGGATTAGCAGCACTTGGTCTAGAGAAAGTCTGTAGTGATTTGACATACCTCATCCGGGTCCCTCTCCCCACCCCTGATGCGCTCACAGTTGTTTTCAGACATCTTGAAGTTTGATAAGGTTTTTTCTGAGGCCCCTTAGATCTGCCAGAGGATGGAATTATTTCATGATGAATTTAAACACCTCCCCCCCCCCGCCCCCGCAATTTGTGAGGTTTGCTGGAAAAGAATTGGCCTTTAGCAGAAGAAGGTCTATATTTCTAGTCCTGACTTTTGACCTCATTGACCCCAAATTAGCTATTTGACACGGATCCGGGCAGTTCCCCGTCCGGGCCTTTGCCCCCTTCCCAGTAAAATGAAGGAGATGATTTGGAAAGTCTTTTCTGGTTCTAAAATTCAATTTCATGCTGTTTCAACTACGTTTTTGGCAATGACTTACAGCAGCAGCTGACGGGTTAAGAGAAAAGTAACTGGTTTTTAATTTACCGAATGTTTGTAGATGATGCCACAGAGAAGGATCTTTCTGATCTTGTGTCAGAGATGGAGATGATGAAGATGATTGGAAAACACAAAAATATCATAAATCTCCTTGGAGCCTGCACTCAGGATGGTGAGTAGGAGGAAAAAATGCTTTCATCCAAATAATTTACGCTTCAATGTTAGCATCATTTTAGAAACGGTTGGACTTTTGGATCTTGCTCCTCGGGCACCTCAAGTGCATGTTGAAAGTTCTCTTTAAAAATCCCCTTAGGAAGATGTTCCTGGCCATGAACACAAAGGGGACTTTGTGACCGTACTGGGGGACTGGGGAATGGTAGGCGTTGGGTGGCTTTGGATGGGAGGGCCTTATAGAGTCCTGCTGTTCTGAGGCCATCACCTGGAGGGTGTTCGGAAAGGACAGGCTCCTTGTGGTTTTGTCTGATGGTGCTAAGAGGGATTTCTCAAAAGAAGACCCTATGTTTGGGTTGACAAATGCCTTAAAATGGGGATTGAGGAAGCCATGTCTTGCTATGGGCAGCGGATGGCTGAGCTCCCAAGACTAGCTTAGAAGAGGAGAGAGTAGAAGGAAGGGACACGTTATCTGCCTCGGGGGAGACAGAGCCCTGGCTTCTCCCATTGGGGAGCTGACTAGCACTTTGGGACTCCGATTGAGGATAATTAATAGACTTGAAAATCCTATCTTTGCCTCAGCAGCTTCTCTTTTAGGTCGATACCGGGAGTCGGGAGACTTTCTGTGGAGGGTGATGGTAGATATTTTTGGTTTGGTGGCCTTTAGCGTGGGTCTCGGTGGCCACGACTCGTGTTTGCCCGGTAGCGAGAAAGCAGCCACAGATGATGCAGATGTGAATGGGCCTGGCTGCGTGCCAATACGATTTAATTGCAAAAACAGGCAGTGGGCAGGATTTGGCCTGCAGGCTGTCATTTGCCAACCTCCGATCTGTGCCTCGGAGAAAGGATCTCACGTGTGCGTAAGGAGGCGTACCCAGAAGCGTTTGTTTATTACCAACCTGGAAGCAACGTAAATGCCTATAAGTATAGAGAAATAAATAAAGTGTGGCCTATTTATATGGTAGAATGTATATATAGGTATTGAAAGGAATGATCTAGATTTTTTTTTTTTATCAGCCCGACTGGGTTCTTCCTCAAGGATAATACGTAGGGGGAAAATGTTGCAAAGCCGTATCTTCACGACGCATTTATGTGCTGGAAACCAGTGCATTGTTTATCGGTACATATATGTGGGTAAAATGACTTAAAATGAACGGGCAGAGAGAGATCTCTGATAGCCATTGCTCTCCAGGAGGGCACAGGAGTGCCAGGAGGGGGGCACTCGCCGTACCTCTGTTTATTTCTGGAAGACTTTGGGGGCTCTCTTGACCAAGTGTCGATTGGCATTTTGGGGAAGAGGAGAGGTGCCGCTGTCCTGTTTTTGCGTGTGCTTTTCCATGTGTTCAAATTCAACAAAAAAAGCGCCGGCTTGTGAGAGCTCACACTGTGCTGAGGTTCCCGGGGGGGGCAGATCTGGGAAGGGTAGTCGCCTTCCTGAGCTGCTTTCTCTACTCCGTCCGCAGGGCCGCTCTATGTCATAGTTGAGTACGCCTCGAAGGGCAACCTCCGGGAATACCTCCGAGCCCGCAGGCCCCCCGGGATGGAGTACTCCTATGACATTAACCGCGTCCCCGAGGAGCAGATGACCTTCAAGGACTTGGTGTCCTGCACCTACCAGCTGGCGAGAGGCATGGAATACCTGGCTTCCCAGAAAGTGAGTCCTTCACATTCTCCTCAGTTGGGTAGATTCCAGTTTAAAAAAAAAAAAAAAAAAAAAAAAAAAAAAAAAAAAAAGAAAGAAAGAAAAAGCCTGTGAAGAAAACAGGCTCTTTGGACGTGCTCGTTTGCTGAGTCAGGCCCTTGCATGTCTTGTACAACCTGGAAAATACTTACTGCATTATTCACACAGGGGCTTAGTGAACTCTTTTCAAAGCCAGAGCAGCCTCAGAAACGTCAAGGGACTGCATAGATGAGCAGAAAAGGTGTCTCCTCTCCTGAGATTCAGCTCTCGGTAGAGAGCTGCGGGCGTCGAGGGGGCGTGGGTGATTGTTTTTGGCTGTATTCGTTCTGTGCCGAGTTGGTGGACGGAGACTTTGGGTGTTGGGTTTATGGTTGCAAGTTTGAAAGGGCATTAAATATTCTAAGAACAGAGATCAGGCGAAGGGATATTTTAGTAACACTGAGTCCTGGATGTCATCTGGGTTTATTTTGTCTCCTCTCACGGGGTGACCCTCTGGTTAGAAGTTGGCCAGGTCCCCTGAGGTGAACCGTCTGCATTCCAAGCATGCCCCTGGCAGTGGAACTTTAAACATCTGAGTTATTCTGAAAGCAGTTAGACAGGTGCCCTGATGTCCTCTGGGGCGTTTTGGATAACCCAAGACACCCTTCCTGAGCTCACCCTTTGCAGGGAGGGTTGTAGGACTTTGTCCTTGGGCAGAGGTGGGGTCACTGCCTACCTGTGCTGGAGCTTGAAGCCCATCTTCGGGTCCCCAAAGAAGCGAGGTTCTCTCGGCATGGGCCCACTGTCACCGTGGGGCCCTGGGCTGGGTCACGGCCGTGCCAAGTCCTGTGAGTGAGCGAGGCAGCCCGCGCCTGGCCCCATGGCGTTAGGGGTCTGGGGGAGGGGTGGCCACATCTCCGCCCCCGCTCCTGTGGCCACATTGGAACCCGGCCAGAGCTACCACGTGTTCTGTTGTTGTTGTTGTCGTTGTTGTTTCAAGAGAGTCCAGACTTGAAGACTTTTTCAGATCTTTTTCTTCCCCCCTAAAAAAGTGCTCACCGTGTAGGTTTTAGGAGACAGTTTGGTGCCTGCCTCTGTGTGCAGGTGCACGAACCCAGGGGAGTTTGTCACCTGAAAAGCCTTTGACGTGAGGAAACGGTCAGTTCCGGAATGTGGGACATTTCACAAGACATCACTTCACAATGTCAGCATCACGAAAGACAAAAAGTACTGGGGAGATGGTTCCAGATTAAAGGCAACTTAAGAGACAGGACAGCTCCATGTAGTCGCGTGACCTTGGACTGGGTCTTGTTCAGGATGGGAGGGGGGAGGGGCAGCTTTATCAAGAACATTTATGAACTGAAATTTGAATGTGGGCCGTATTAGGTAGTATGGCCAGATGGATCCGTGTTAAATCTGGAGGTGGTGATAGTGGCCTCGTGTTAAAGGTAGATCTTTGCTCAGGTATTAAGGTGTGAAGTATCAGTGGGGTCTGTAACTCACTTTTCGTTTTTTGTTTTTTAACGTTTGTTTATTTTTGAGAGAGAGACGGCGCAAGCAGGGGAGGGGCAGAGAGAGAGGGAGACCCAGAATCCGAAGCAGGCTCCAGGCTCCGAGCTGCTGGCCCAGAGCCCGACACGGGGCTCGAGCCCACAAACCGCGAGATCGTGACCTGAGCCAAAGTCAGCCGCTTAACCAACTGAGCCACCCAGGTGCCCATGCAACTCACTTTTGAATGGTTCAGGCATAAATAGTGTGTTCGCGCAGGGGGGATTGCGTGTGGAGAGGAAGACCAGCGCGACAGGTGAACCTGGCAAACGTCGGTATCCGTTGTTCTAGTTCACCTTTGCTGTAGCTTCCAGATAGTCCTAACTAAAACCCTGGGGAGTATGACCTGCCCGCAGGCTGCTAGTTGTGACCCTCAGGTCTTGGTCACTCTGGACCCTCCCTGTGTGGGAGAGGGGGAAGCATTCCCATAGCAGGTGGTGGAGTGGCTCCAGGCCTGGACCTCTTGGAGCAGGAACCTCGGGCGGCAGCAGGAGAGATTAACAAGAAATGTGGGACTAAAAGTAAGTATGTAAAAGGCTGAGAAGCGTGCTGTGCAGGAAACAGGCAGTGTGAGGTCAGTGGGGGGCCCGGGGCCGGGTGTGGGCGCTCACGCGGAGGGAGAGCTGTGCGGCTTCTGGGGAGGGACGTCGAGAGCAGGGTGTGAGATGCGGTTGGAGACGGGCGGGCCCTGCTGATTCAGGGCCTCCCAGACCCGGGCCGGGTGCTCCCGGCACATGGCGAGCCACGGAGGGGCCTGACGGGGTCGGGTTTGTGCTGCGAAGCTCGCTCCTTCTCGCGCTGCTCGTGACCGCTGGGTTAGAAGCTCGGGGTCCTGCGGAAGGTGATGGTGGTTTTGTGTTAGGGTTTCTTGGCTCCCGGAGGCACTGGAGGAGACCACTGATGTGGGATCTGTTTTGCTGTCGGGGTACTGAGTAGATTTCCGGTCGGAGAGACTGGATGGCGGTGCCGCTGATGGGGACGAGGAGGACTAGGGAGTGGGAATAGATTCTGGTGGGCCATCCAGGATGTACCTTGAACATGCGCGGGCGCCCTTCAAGGGCCGCTGTCAAGCAGGAAGCTGCAGGCCAGAGCTTAGCTCTGAGGGCTGGGCTGGGACCTCGGCAGCCAGCAAAGGAAGTGTAGTTTCAAGGCACGGGTGGGCATCTAGGCGGGGAGAGGCGGAGCAGAGGGGCAGTAGAAAAAACTCTCAAATCTGGAGCTTGGCTCAAAGCACCCGATGGCAGTAGAGGCTGAGGGGACTCAGAGGTCGGGAGGAAAGGCAGGGTGTGGTGTACAGAGGTCACAGGAGGGGTTTCAGAAAGGTGGGGTGTTCTTCTGCTCGGAACAGGAGAGGAGGATGCGCCTTGCACCAGGCTCATGGAGCCCGCGGGGATCCGCCCCTGCTCCCAGCTGAGAACTCGGACATCCTTCCTCCTCTGTTCAGTGTAGTAGAGAAGGAACCAAGGGTCAGGTGAACTTTGTGAAAGGGGGCAAGCGAATACATTTTAGGATGAAGACCGAAAATGCCCTTGTCAATGGGGTTGTGATAATAGCGATTCTCGCCGTGATTAATTACTACCTGTTTTTGAGAACTTAACATCTGCCAGGCACAGGACAAGCCTTTTACATACAGTATCATCCATAACCTCAGAACAGCTCTGGGATAGGTGTGATTTTAGGATAAGCGAGGACTGTTAGGAGGTACCAGGAAGCCTTTGGGCAGGCAGGTATGTCTAAGTCATTTTCTGTATTTCCAACATGGGGACGCCTAGGTCCACAGAGAAAAGTGGCTGGTCCCAGACCTGGCCCTGTGGTTCATTCCTCACCCACCCCGCTCCCCAGACTCCCCTGCTCTCTCAGGGAATCCCTGCTTCACTCTGGATGGAGGGGAGGACCACTCGAACAGGGTAGGCTAGAAGGGACAGAGCTGTGTCCTGATAGGGCCTTGCGGGGTTCCCTTAGCTGAGGATCCTCTGCAGTTAAAGCCCTAGAACCGATATGAAGCTGGTGGTCAATGAAGATCTTAAGAATGGTCCCCTTGAGGGGCGCCTGGGTGGCTCAGTTGGTTAATCGTCCGACTTCGGCTCAGGTCACGATCTCGCGGTGCGTGAGTTCGAGCCCCGTGTCGGGCTCTG